AGTCTAAGTAAGTGATCTTGACTGACAGCAAGCCTTTTTCAACATATTGCTTTTCAACAATGCTTTTTTCATATGTTTTTGCCATGTATGAAGTCTGCTTATAACCTACCAAAGGAGAGAGTGGTGAGAGAGGTACCTATTTAACCATCTCATCCCCAAATTGACATGTTATGTCTATTCACATTTCATTGTCACAGGTGGTCAGATGGCCCCATTTAGAATCTAGAAGGCCACAGTAACTGCCACAAGGGCTGAGCTCTTGGAAGGGTCTGAGAATTTATATTTTTTAAGGCAGTTCATTTTTAAGAGGACTCTGGCAAGAGTAAATGATAAAAAAAGAGATGGTTCTTTACCAGGGAGAGCAAGTAGCATTTTAGATACCCTGTGATTAGACTCCTACCCTCATGAAGAAGCAGGAAGAATTCTGCTGAGCATGCCCAGTTGTTTTCCCAATAAAAACATTTATTAAGACAGTAGAATGAAAAATCAATATTCAAAATCAATGTGCATTCACATAGTAACCAATTAGAAGATGTAATAGAAAAGAATTCCATGTACAATAGCAACAAAGATATAATTTCTAGGATTAAGCATAACAATACATGCTTATAACAATATAAGAAAACTTCAGCATACTCCTGGAAGTAGTTACTAACAGAAAGATATCTCGTTTGCAGATGTTATTTCTCTCCAAGTTAACATAGAAATTTAGCACAGCTGCAACACCAATTGCATGATTTTCTTTTTCTTTTTTAAGATTTTCTTTAATTATTATTATTTTGTTTATTTTGTTGTTGTTTATTTATTCACATGTGCATACATTGTTTGGGTCATTTCTCTCCCCTGCCTCCCTCCCCGACCCTTTCCTCCCACCCCTTTGTTCCAGGCAGGTCCCATTGTGCCCTTATCACTGATTTTGTTGAAGAAAAGATATAAGCATAGTAAGGAAGACAGAGCATTTTTCCTAGTTGAGTTAAGGATAGCTATACAGAGAGATTCCTACTATTGCTTTTGTGTACCTATGTGTTATGACCCATGTTGACTCAACTCTAACTTATCTTTACATTGGTTGCTGATCCCCTGCTCATGATAACCTGTCATTTTAAAGTTTCTGTATTAGTTCCTCTGGAGTGGGGACATCAAACACTTTCATGTTTTGGGTTTTCTACCTATTCTTATATCTCCCGTATGTGCTCTCCCCTTGGCTTGTGATCCAAGTTCAACAACATTGCTGCATTTGCCCTGTATCTAAAGTCTGCATATGAGGGAGAACATACAGATTTTGGTCTTCTGAGACTGGCTGACCTCACTCAGAATGATGTCCTCCAGTTCCATCCATTTACCTGCAAATGATAAATTTTCATTTTTCTTCATGGCTGAGTAAAATTCCATTGTGTACAAGTACCACATTTTCTTGATCCATTCATCAGTAGTGGGGCATCTTGGTTGTTTCTATAACTTGGCTATTGTGAATAGTGCTGCAATAAACATGGGTGTGCAGGTGCCTCTGGAGTAACCTGTGTTGCATTCCTTTGGGTATATCCCCAGGAGTGGGATTGCTGGATCATATGGCAGGTCTATATTTAGATTTTTAAGAAGCCTCCAAAATTTTTTCCAGAGTGTTTGCACCAGCTTTGCATTCCCACCAGCAGCGGATTAGGGTTCCTTTTTCCCCACATCCTCGCCAACATTTGTCGTTGGTGTTTTGGATGATGGCTATTCTAACAGGGGTGAGGTGGAATCTTAGTGTGGTTTTGACTTGCATTTCCTTTATGGATAGAGATGGTGAGCATTTTTTCATGTGTTTTTTGGCCATTTGAATTCCTTTTTTGAAAAAGTTCTGTTTAATTCAGTTGCCCATTTCTTAATTGGTTCATTGATTTTAGGAGAGTTTAGTTTCCTAAGTTCCCTGTATATTCTGGTTATCAGTCCCTTGTCTGATGTACAGCTGGCAAACATTTTCTCCCACTGTTTGTTGTCTTCTTAGTTTAGAGACTATTTCTTTTGTTGTGCAGAAGCTTTTTAATTTTATGAAGACCCATTTATTCATCCCTTTTCTTAGCTGCTGGGCTGCTGGGATTCTATTGAGGAAGTCTTTGCCTATACCTATTTGTTCCAGAGTGTTTTCTGCTCCTTCCTGTAGTAACTTCAGAGTTTCAAGTCTGATATTTAGCTACTTGATCCATTTTGACTTGATACTAGTACAAGGTGATAAACATGAATCTAGTGTCAGTTTCTTGCAAACGAGTAACCATTTTTCCCAGCAACATTTGTTGAAGAGGCTTTCTTTTCTCCATCATATATTTTTGGCACCTTTGTCAAAAATGAGGTGGGTATAGTACTGTGGACTCATATCTGGGTCTTCTATTCTGTTCCACTAGTCTTTGTGTCTGTTTTTGTGCCAGTACCATGCTGTTTTTATTGCTATTGCTTTGTAATATAGTTTGAAGTCAGGTATTGTGATATCGCCAGCATTGTTCTTTTTGCTGAGCATTACCTTGGCTATTTGCGGTCTCTTGTGTTTACAAAAGAACTTTAGGGTAGATTTTTCAATCTCTGTGATGGAAGTCATTGGGATTTTGATGAGAATTGCATTAAACATGTAGATTGCTTTTGGTAGTATAGCCATTTTTACTATGTTCGTTCTACTGATCCATGAGCACCAGAGATCTTTCCATCTTCTGTAGTCTTCCTCTATCTCTTTCTTCATGGGTTTGTAACTCTCCTTGTAGAGGTCATTCACATCCTTTGTTAAATTTTTTTTCCTGGACCAAAGAAAGTTGATTCTAAAGTTGTTATTGCACAAAACATACTGATATACGTATAAACACCTTGAAAGATAAAGTAACATGAATAGGAAATAACCCTTCCAGTATGAAGGCACATTGCAAAGCCTGTGTATTGAAACCATTGTGGAGAAAAATAAATGCTGTATGATCTCACATGCAAAATCTAAGTGTCAAACTCAGAAACAGAGTAAAAGGATGGTTGTCAGGGGTTTAGGGCAATGGGTAGTTTTAGGAGAAAAGTTTTAAATTTAGTCCCAGGCATGGTAGGGCATACCTGTAATCCCAGCATTTGGAACACTGAGGCAGAGGAGTGAGAGTTTCAGGTCAACTTGGAATGCATAGAAAGACCCTGACTAAAAAAAATGTAAATTTCTGGTCATAAGATGAATGGATTTAGGAGACCTAAGGACCATAGTTATAAGACAGTGACTGTAGTTAATAATAATGCACAGTACAGTTGATGTTTGTTATGAAAATAGATCTTTATTCTCACCATAAAAATGTAGTTATGTGGGATGAGAGTTAATTAGCTTGATTATGGCAATCACTTCATATTGTGTGTATATAAAAATATCACATAAAACTAAACATGCAAGCAAGTGGAATAAAAAAATTTTTAAGTGAATGCAAATACATAAAAATACCATCTCAAGCTAGAGTTTTAAAGAAATGAAAAGGAACAATTAACTATACATTTGGAAAAGCAGTTCTAACAGATTCGTGTGATAAATATCAGAGTAAGTGAGAAGTTCAAATGCAAAAAATAAAACCGTACAAGTAAAAGAAGAAAACACAGGTGACTTTTTATATAACCCTAGTGTGAGAAGTTAATTATGACTAGCTACAGCTCTAAATCCAGGTGCTACATAACACATGCAAAAACACTACAAGAGCTGGGGCATGGCTCAAGTGGCAGAGCACTTGCCTAGCACATGCAAAGATCTGGGTTCAATCCCCAGCACTGCAACAACAACAAAAAACAAAACAACCACTGTAAGTAGTGAAAAAAGGACAAATGAGAAAATGGGAGAAAAATAACTGCTGAGATATACCCCCAGTCCTTGAACTTTATTTTGGACTAATATACTAGACACATAAAAAGCAGTAGTAGTTATATAGTTAAAGAAAACACCTAAAGTAAAACAGACAAAACATAAATAATTGATTTTTTATTATTATATACATTTTAAATTTTAGTTCCATAACTGGATATGTCTACTGAATACTTAGATACTGAATCATTGTCCAGTGGATCATTGGAAGGGTCCCTGGGTGGCTAGCACTGCCATAGTCCATGGATAAAGGACTGGATCTGAGTCATAGAACTGCTTCAGGGTCTTCAAAAAAGACCAAAATCTTTAGGCATAATTCTGTTAGTTAAAGATAAACCTATGGTTTGTTAATTTTGTTTCACAACTAGTAGAATCATTAAATAGTCATAGCTAATTCTGTTGATGCACTCCATCCATTAGAAAAGAAGTATGGGGCGAAGATATAAGGAAAGGGTCTTTGAGGGTGAATATGGTGGAAATATTATGTACTCATGTATAAAAAGGGAAAAAATGAGACTTGTAGAAACTATTCCAGGAATGGGGATTGGTGGGGGATAAAGGAGAATAGTGGAGAAGGTGGAATCAGCTATGACATAGTGTAAGAACTTTTGTAAATGTCACAATGTACCCCCAGTTCAAAAATAACATAAAAAGCAAAATGCAAAAAAACAAAAGAAGTGTAAATGCTGTCTAGACACAAACTGCACAAACTATGAAAAGTGTATACACTGATAAAACATTGTTTTGCCTCTTTTACTTCAGTTTTTTTGTTCATATAATTTACCTATGTAACCATAGCTACTGCTTTGTGCATCTAATACATCAGTCCACAACAAAGTTAAAGGTTCAGTAGTAGAGCACTTGACTAGCATGCCAGAGGCTCCAGGTTAGATCCCTAACCATGGCAAAAAAAGAATAAGATAAAGTCCAAAAAATAAAAAAATTCAACCCCAACAACAATATATGAGTTAATGTTTCTTCCTAATTTTTTGGAAATCTGTGAGAAGTATTTCTCAACTTCCTTTAGTTGTTTCATGTTGTATACTGAAAAACACAAGAGTATATGGAACGAACACCAACTGGAACAATGACTTCCTTTTTTGAGTCGACTCCACCTCTATTCTGTAGGCTTTCCATTTTTGTGAGAGAGATGATTCTTTTCAGATTATTTGAGGTCCACATTTTTAGGGGAATGTTTATATGGACAAATACGAGATTGAGGAATGAATGAAATCACAAAACTTGGACAGAAAAATCTCAGAATGGTGCTTCTTGAAGATTGTGGATTTGCTGGTAAAATCTTTCATTTATCTTGCCTTTACTCTTTAGTGGAGTTTAGAATTTATTCTGATGGTCAATGGATATGACTGGAAACAGGAGAGTAAAGAATGATAAAAGAATATTAGGTTTATATAGCAATACTTCTATATGCCATAGATTTAAAACTTAGATGTGGGAAAGGGACTAGAGTTGGCAAAATAAATTTTATAAAATTGTTGAGATGAAATTAATTCAGGAACTGAAGTTGAATGAACTATATGTAGTATAAAAACAGTAATTGTTTTTAAAAAGATAGAATATGTAGGAATTGAATACTGATTGAAAGTTCATTTCCTAGAGAAAATTTAGAGTAACAACTGTGAGTGCTGAGGTCTAATTCATGATTTTTTCATAAAAAATCATGTTAAAATCATTTAGTAGTTTGCTTTTAAATTAGTGTTGCGTTAGAAGAATGGGGAAGTGAAAATGATAGCAAAACTAAACACCTTTTTAAGATAAATCTAGAGATGACAAGATCCAATGGTTGGATTTTGCAAGTATGAATATTGACAATTTATCCCATTATTCAGCTGCTATTTTGCAAACACTATCCTAGGCACTCTTGAAACATGGTAGATACAATCCATTCCCTCATGGAACTTACCATCTAACATCATGGATCAGGTTGACATGGGGGTAACAGCATCACTAATTGAGTATTGAGGAGGTAAAGAAATATAGAAATCTCAGGAAACTTATCCTGTCCTACAGGGGAACTATCCACTTTTGTGTTTCATTGATCCCTTTTTCAATTGTGCAAGCTTTAAGACCTGCCTTTGCAATTCTTGTTTCTACTGCCTTACCCCTGGTTGCCTATAAGTGAGAACATTTTCAAAGCTAACTCCCTGAGACAGACTATAGGACCCTGGATCTGAGTTTTTCATGTCTGTCTTCCATTTAGAAGGATTTTCTTTATTGGTTTGATCTTCTTTGTGAATCCCAAAACACTGAAGCCATCTGTCTTTTCAAAAGTCTCTTTTTGGGAAGATTGTATGTGACTCTCTTTCTTTCACAGGTTTTAGATGTCATTTTGTCCACTTGAGCCTCTTTATTGTGGCTGTGGTCTCATTTCTCAGTGCCCCTGTCATCACTACTTCTCTCGGTGAGTACATAGTCAAATTTACTTACAACTTTAACTCACTCTAACAAGAAGAGTTAAAGATTCTCCTGGATGTTGAGTAGCATATAAAAACTGTGCTCTGCAAAATCAAAGGATCAGATATTAAAAGCATTCAATAACCTAATATCCTAACCACATAGCGCAAAATGTTAACATGGTTCCCTCTCACAACAAAATAAACTCACAAGAAAAATCCATGATAATTAAAGTCTGGAAATAATGTCTGGTTGGAAAAAGGGAAAGATGCAGAGGAGAGGAAACCTCAGAATTATTGGAGCAAAATGGAATTTTGGGAACAAATTTCTGGAATTCAAATGCCAGGAATGTATTGAAAGAAATATATTGAAAGAAGTCAGGCTGGTGGACCACCAGCTACCAAAATTAAGCTAAAAGAGAGCCAAAGAGGCAGCTGAAATCATTTGGGGGAAAGGGAATAGAGAGGGGTTTATCTCAATGTAGAAGAATGAGAATGAGAATAGGAAAATACCTCCATTTCAATGTGCACTTAAATAGATTAGTGATTTAGTCACATTTCAACTCTTGTTTTAAAAATCCATGGTATTGAATTCTTGCCATCTGGTCTTTTTATCCCCATAAATCTGCTATCAGTCTTCTTTCTTATTGCTCTTAGGATTTGAAAGAAACATATGTGGCTTATCCCTATAAAAATTCTATTTAGCTAGTAAACTTTCCAGAAAGATTATGTAAATTAAGACTACCCAGGCATAATACAAAACTATCATATAGTGTTGTGTTTCTTAGCTTTTTACCAGTTTTAAATCATTGCTTCATTTGAAGCTTGTGATACTGATGGGTATATTTGAATGTCTATAAAATAGCATTACTCTATCATGTCATGGAAGGGAACAATATAGTTCTGAACCCTGAAGGATAAATAAGTCATCTAAAAAATGATAGTTCTTTGCTGGTTCTCTGTGTTCTTGACCACTTGCTCTCTTAAATTCTTGTTGCAGGAGAAGCTAAAAAGGAGTTGAGGCTAGCAGCTGGTGAAAACAGGTGTAGTGGAAGAGTGGAAGTAAAAATCCAGGAGGAGTGGGGAACAGTGTGCAATCATGGTTGGAGTATGAAAGAGGTCTCCGTGATTTGTAGTCAGCTAGGATGTCCAACTGCTATCAAAACCACTGGATGGGCTAATTCCAGTGCAGGTTCTGGACTCATATGGATGAATAATGTTTCTTGTCAAGGGAATGAATCAGCAATTTGGGACTGCAAACATGATGGATGGAAAAATCATAGCTGTACTCACCAGCAAGATGCTGGAGTGACCTGCTCAGGTAAGACTTGCATAAGTCAAAGGAAATCCCAAGACCAGTCTATATTCTTGAGGTCTTCATTTCTCCTTATTCATTTCATATGAAATACAAAATTCTTGGTGGGGAAAATATCTACATATTTTTGGCTTACAAAGTAAAATGAGCCACTTTTATGTAAGTAATCTAGTCCATGCATAAAATTACCAAATTGATTGTTAGAGGTCTATAAAAATACATGACAAAGCCCATGTTTAAGAGCCTTCAGCTCTAGTTTTCTAGTTTTGTATAACTAAGAATAGACTTGAGCATACTTTTTGACATTCATATACCTCAAGCTGCAACTGGACCCTATAATAAAGAACCTATAGCCATTCAAGGACTCACATGTTTCATGGGGTTTCTGAGATTCTCTGCTCTAGTTAATGCTCAATTTTCAGAACTCCTACCTGTCATGAGATTTTATTATTATCATAGGCACTGAGGCCATATAGCACAATAATCAAGAGAACATATTCTGGTACTAGCCTGCTTTCTCCTCCCCGATATCTTAGCTCTACTGTTTTCTAGATGTTTGATTCTGTGCCAAATATTTAAACTTAGTTTGCTGATCCATGAATTGGAGCTAATAGAACACAATGCTTAAAATTGTAAGTACTAAAGAAGATGGTATATGTGATGCACTTAGAAGAGAATATGCAGATTTTAATTGTGAGCTCTTATTATTACTAATTATTATTAATAATTGTCCACAATAAAAATAAACCTTGTCAGGTGGGGGTGTTTGCTTACAGTTCACAACTTTTAAAATAGAGTTAATTTTGCAGGAAAGAGATTTTAAGTATTTCATTCAACCATTAACAGTCTTTGTCTTTCAAGTGTTCCAAATTTCAACCCAAATCTCCTTTTCTCTGGTATTTTAGTCTTCATAGAAAATCTAGTGGGCAATGTACAGAGAAAAATTAACTTATATAAAAGCTGTTGCTAAAACTGGTGCCAGATTCTTTGGGGGAGAAAAACTTTTATTCAAATAGGCATTTGAGAAGGAATTGTTTGATTGATTTTTCCCCTCAATTTTTAAGAACTTGCCATTCCATAGCATGACTTTGCAAACTTTTATTCATGCTTATGCATTTTTATCTTTGCTTTTCCTTACATTCTTCTTGAAAATTCAGCTTTAATTAATTATGCTCTGAGCTGTTTATAATGAAGAAAAATTAAAGGATAAGAATGTTAAACCTTTAACAAATTACCAAATTGTCATTTACTACTTCATCATATGGTAAAATTCTGGTTTTTAAAATAAAAATTGATTCAAGTTTATCCATTTCTATATAGAAGAGTACTTGCTTCTTTCCTCATCAAGGACAAGAACAAAACACAGAAAATTGAAAAACATTAACATGTGAAACATTTTTTTGGTAAGAAGATGTAGATGAAAGTCCTAATTGTTAGTTGGATTTTAACAGTTAAAATTCTCCAATATGTGGAGCTGGATAGTGCCCAGAAGCAGACACTATTTTAAGGACAACGTTGAATTCTGAGTTCAGAGAAACCTTATTTTCTAGCATCACTTAAGTATGAATATTACTTCTTCGCTGGTCTTTGCTGTAGATGGATCCAATTTGGAGATGAGACTGGTGAATGGGGGAAACCGTTGTTCAGGAAGAATAGAAGTCAAATTCCAAGGACAGTGGGGCACAGTATGTGATGATAATTTCAATATGAATCAAGCTTCTGTGGTTTGCCAACAACTTGAATGTGGAAGTGCTATCAGTTTCTCTGGTTCAGCTAATTTTGGAGAAGGTTCTGGACCTATCTGGTTTGATGATCTTATGTGCAATGGAAATGAGTCAGCTCTCTGGGACTGCAATCACCAAGGATGGGGAAAGCATAACTGTGGTCATAGTGAGGATGCTGGAGTGATTTGCTTAGGTAAGTACTGATGTGAGCTATCTTTTGTTCTGCAAGAAAGGACAAAAGAAAGGGGTAGTATAAAAAGCTTGAGTCTTTTGAAAGTGTAATAAAGCCTGCTGCCTTTCGCACCTCATTATTGCTTCATTTGTGGTTCCAATTCTGATACTTGTGGTTTTTACTCTAACTGAAATTAGCAGAAATAGTTGCAGGAAAGATTATGAATAGTGAAATTGAGTTCCAAGTCATAAAACAAAAGAAGTGTTTAGGAAAAGTCCAATAAGAAAGAAAGGAATGAATGAAGGGAAGGGAGGGAGTAGAGGAGGGAAAGAAAGAAAAGGAGAGAAGGAGAGTGGAAGGGGTGGGAAAAGAAGAAGAAGGGAGAAGAAAGGAGAGAGGCTTAAGTTGGAAATTTTGCTCTCTGAATTTTAAAGTAAAACACCCTCCTTATCATCCTCCAGCTGACAAGTCTCAGCTTTAGCCACATTAACCCACCCCTTCAGAAATCATTAGTTCAAATTCACAGAATCCAATGATAAAAGTAAAAACAAAAAAGCCAACAGTTTAGTTTCCTACTGAAGCCTCATGGCTGGTAGTACTGTGGTGTGAGCATGCATTCCATCTTTCTGGAGACTTGTGTTCTGTACCTAGATCAGGATGAACTATAGGCTGGTGTGTGGGAGGACCATTCTCCTTTGACACTTGACTTCTTAGTTTCAAAGAGACTTAGTGTGTTTTGAATCCAAAGCAACACTAAGGAAAATATAGAGTTACAAAGTTCTCTTTTTTTCACCAGGATCCTCTCCTCTCTTCTGTCCTCTCCTCTCTTCTCTCCTCCCCTCTCCTGTCTTCTCTTCTCCTCTCTTCTCCCTTTGCAAAAGAAGGAAATTGAATTTAAATCAATTTTAAAATGAGAGAATACTAACTCACAAAACGGAAATCTAGTGGGTATAATTGACTTCATGCATAGCTGAATTCAGGTGCTTAAACAATGTCTTCTGGCTTTTTCTCTACTTCTTGAATTTGCTTTTTTCTTATTGAACAACATGGCCATCTATATCCAGAAGCACAAAGATTAGGATTCTACAGAAAATGAATTTTGTCAGCTGAAGAAAATGAAACAGAGTTATATACCTTCTGTTCTTTCAACCCTCGGAATCTCTTTAGTTTCCAATATACTCACTTCTTCTCAGTGTGTTTTACATGTGATGAAGTATCACATAAATAGGATTGTGAATGCCTCCCCTTCCCCAAAAAAACTCTAGAGAGTGAAGGCTGTTTATTTTATCACACATATTTTTCAGAATCTAGGTCTGTTTTTTAAGGAATATTGATTTCAGAAGATTAAAAGAGTAATGTTTGCCTTTTCCCAACTCTGCTCTACCTTTAAACTAAGGGTTTGCTCACAAAGAGTCCAGGTTTACAGTACAAACCAGGTATATAGATGGGCAATGCAGTCAGTGACAAAATGTGGTGTTGATTATTGATACGAACTGGAATGAAGGTAAAACCTAAGCACATGCAAATGTATTTTAACAAGAAAAGTAAGCAATTCTACAAAAATTGTGGTGGTCTAACAAGCAGTTCTCCACATAAAATTCAGATTCTATATCACCTCTGGAATGCTTTCTGAAGTATGTTCTCTCTTACTGAAAAGTCCTCCTTCCATCTTTAATGAGTCTCAGTGGTAGTGTATCATGATTGTCGTCTCTTCTCTCTGTAACCATCTCAAGCAGAGTTATTTATAGTCACCCTTATTCTGATTTCCTGATCACTGACTTGCTGTGTGTCCCTGTTACAGAGGGTGCAAATCTGACCCTGAGAGTAGTAGATGGACTCAGTGAATGTTCAGGAAGATTGGAAGTGAAATTCCAAGAAGAATGGGGGACTGTGTGTGATGATGGCTGGGACAGTAATGATGCTGCTGTGGCATGTAAGCAACTGGGATGCCCAACTACTGTCACCACCATTGGTCGAGTTAATGCCAGTGAGGGATCTGGACACATCTGGCTTGACAGTGTTTCCTGCCAAGGGCACGAATCTGCAATCTGGCAGTGCAATCACCATGAGTGGGGAAAGCATTACTGCAATCATCATGAAGATGCTGGCGTGACATGTTCCGGTAAGAAAAAGAAACAAGATCCAAGAGTGTGAAGAATGAAGAACACATGATCTTTAAGAGTAAAAATAGGTGTGAGATGTGAGTAGTAGAAACACCTGATAAACTTATTGCTGAGAATTCCTTCACAGTTGTGAAGAATCTTTGACACATTCTTAATTCAACTAGTGTAGAGGGCTATCTGACTCTGTTCTGTGTCATTATTATTCAGACTATTGTCAGGGACTAAACTTTGGATTTTAAATCTACTCGGACCTCAGAGTTTTAATTTTATAGGTCTCTCTCACTACCCCCTCCCCATCTTCCTCCCCCCCGTCTTTTTTTGGTGGTGATACTCAAGTTTGAACTCAGGGCCTCACTTGCCAGGCAGGAGCTCTACCACTTAAGCCATACTCCCAGCCCTTTTTGCTTTAGTCATTTTTAAAATAAGATTTTCCATTTTTCCCCCAGTTGATCTGGACTGCCATTCTCCTACTTATGTGCCCCCTGCATAGGTGGGATGACAGGTTTGTGCTAGTTTGCCCCACCTTTTTTGTTTAGATTGGGCCCAGTTAACTTTATTTTTTGCCAGGGATAGCCTTCAACTGTAATCCTCTTGATCTGTGCCTCCTGAGTAGCTGGGATTAAAAACAGAAGTGATCAATTCTTTGTAGCAGAATTGCTCATATTTCTCTTCCATTGACAGTTTTTAATAATTCTCAGAACTACATTACCATTTCTAATGAAATTCATGGTCTATACTTGTTGCTTCTTAAAATGCCAAAAACAAGGTTAGCCATAATTTCCAGTGTTTCAGTCTGTGGGAATGAGGAAGACTAAAAATATTCTTTGGGAACAAACCTCCATAGGTGTTTATAGCTTAGACTTATATATATATTTTTTGCAGATGGAACTGATCTGGAGCTGAGACTTGTAGGTGGAGACAGCCGCTGTGCTGGGGCAGTGGAAGTGGAAATTCAGAAACTGGTAGGGATGGTGTGTAACAGAGGCTGGACACTAAAAGAAGCTGATGTGGTTTGCAGACAGCTGGGATGTGGATCTGCCCTTCAAGTATCTGCTAAAATGTATTCCAAAGTTAAGGAAACAAACACATGGCTGTTTATAAACAGCTGTAGTGGAAATGAAACTTCTATCTGGGACTGCAAGAATTGGCAATGGGGTGGACTTTCTTGTGATCACTATACAGAAGCTCAAGTTACCTGCTCAGGTAAGACTTTCAATCTACTTGGTAAGAATAATGCTTCCAAAAGTGTAAATGTCCACTAATACCCTCAAAGAAAAAGAAACATTGATTAGATTGCTCTCATGAAACCAGAAAATATCTATACAAATTACATTGTGAGAGTGTCAGAAAAATTCACAGTTCATCTTTTACCTTGGAGAGATGTGTTCACTTTTTTGCTCATTTCGATTTTTGAGTACTTTTTAAATCAGTGGATGTGTGAAAGGTTATGGGGATTAAAATTTTTATGTCTTTCATAGGAATGTTACCAATTGATTAAAAAAACAAATATTCTGGGGCTGGGAATGGAGGCTCATGCCTGCAATTCCAGCTATTTGGGAGATAAAGATTGGGAGGATCACAGTTCTAGGCCAGCCTGGGAAAAAAAGTTACAAAGACCTCCATTTCAAAAAAACTGGGCATCGTGGCTCGCATCTTTCATCTCTGTGGCTTGTGTCTGTCTATCCCAGCTAAGTGGAAGGCATAAATAGGAAGATAGAGGACTATGCTGCCCCAGGAAAAAAATATAAGACCCTCTTTGAAAACTAAATAAAACAAAAAGGAGTGGGGGTTGTAGCTCAAGTGGTAGAGTGCCTGCCTATCCACTGTGAGTCCCTGAGTCCAAAACTCCAATAATGGCACACACACACAAAAATCTATCCCACAAAATATACAAACAAAAACCTATGTTGAATAAACCAATTATACTTACCTTTGGGATCCTTTAGGCTCCCTTTTATTTTACTGTGAAAGAATTTTCTTCCGATTGAACATTTATGTTTATTTTTTATAAAAGTTCAGAAATAAGATTTTTTGTAAGTTCAGAAATAAGCTGTTAGTTGACCAAGCTTGTGGATAATGTTTAGTATATTATGTGAATCATACTTTTACAAATACTAACTTTATTAAAAGTTGATGTCCTTTTAATAACTCTAAGGTGATATATAGGCATAACTGATATATAGGTGATATATAGGCAAAAAGACACTAGAGAAAACAGTGTGAGAAAAAACAAAACATTGTAAGATTCAGTCACATTTTATACACTCTCATGTTCTGCAGGTCCAATAACCAGTGGTTTTCCCCCAGACACCCCTTAGCCTGTGTTTTCTTCGAGATGCCTTCCTCTTCCCCTGATGTTACAAACTGTGCTTACCTCTGGTTACATCGATATTGTTTGCTGATTGAGAAAAGGTACTCTTTTAAGATAGAAATTTGAATCACCATATTACTTTTAAATAACTACATGACTAGGAAATATATCCATGTATTCCTAGCTATTCCATTTTATTCCTCACAACTTATGTAGTTAAGGAATTTGCATATTATTTAAGATATACACAAGAAAACTCACACATATCCAGATATAGGTATCACTGCTTTTGTTATATTGCCTGCTATTTGGATGTTCATGTGGTAAAATATCTCTACCATAACTTCCTATCAGTACTTATAGAATACTTATACTTTATGACCTCTTTTCTTCTTATTATTTATTAGCATAGACATTTATTTTTGCTTTTGATCTCCCTTATTTGTGAGATTATATAAAGGTTTATCTTAATTTGTTTTTAAAGAACTAGCATTTTAATTTTTACAAAATTAATACTGCCTTCATTTTCTAATTCATTAAAATTTGTTCATCTTCCTAGTAATTAATTTCAGACTTACTAAAATTCAGTTTCTTTTTTGATCCTAACTTCTTGAGTTGGATTTGTACCTTTGATTCTTTCTTATTTATTAATATAAATACTGGAGGTTGCAGGTTTTCCACTGAGTCCACAGGAGCTGTAACCTATAACTCATAAATTGGTGTGTTAATCTGGGGCATAGACTTTCCTATGATTGTTCTATAGTAAATTGTTCATTTTAACATTATGAACCATCCTTCTTTCTATGGTTGAATGGTTTTTGTCCTGAATCAAATGTGTCTAATACTATCATTATTACTGTTTTATTTGCTTTTTATTGTCTTATCTTCAACATTTATGAATCATTGTTTAGGTGCATCACTTTTATTCATCATAGAATTGGGATTTATTTTTAAAAGGAATATGATTGGATTTCATTTTTGAGATGAGAGATACATTTGACATTTATGCACTGCTATGCTATCACAGTGTTATTATATATATGTATATATATATACACATACATATGTATTGTCAGACTACATATTATGCTAAAACTAAAGTTGTGTTTCACTCTATGACATTTTTAAGGGGTTGTGTGTCTCTGTGGGTATATGTGAGCATACTGTGTGCCTGATAATTTCCTTTTGAATTTAGAAAGGTTTGCATGTTTTTCAATTAATTATACTAAAATTAATTAGCATTGGGCTCAACTGCATCCAAAAGAAAGCCAAAGGACACTGGTTAAAAGAGAGCTTAATTTTTCTCTTTTAAAATAAGTTAAATAAAAAAATAAATAAGTTAAATAGTCAGTTTTAGACTATTTTGGTAGCTATGGCCACCAAGAAGCACATATAATTATTTTTATTATCGGAACTATCAAATCCTACTAGAAGTGAGTGATAAACTATTTGCAAAGACAGTCTATAGTCCAAGTTCTGCCATTGAGTAGGTTCCTTTTCCTGCTGTCTTTGATAGGTTGAGGTGCAGTCCTCAGGGCAGTTCTTCCTGCTATATTATTTTTCATAGTCATATCTGAGTGAATATCTGAAAGCTTCACATCGTTCACAATCCAGTTTCTGCTGAAATGGGTTTAGATGTCCCAAGCTTGCTTCGAAAATTGAGTAATCATTGGCTAATGTCAGCTATTTTCAAAGTCAGCAGAACAGTTCTCTCCAAACTTCATAGGCTCCTAGTTTAGTTACCTTAACCCAGTCTATTTATCAAAACTGTGTGAAAGTAATTATAGTCAAAGGGCATATTTGCAGAGTTTGATATATACTGAGACCAGCCCCTTCTTTTTAAGTGTTGGCAAGTGCCTTAAGGTTATCTGAACTTCAGGGTTGAGAGAAAAAACCTAAATCTGTTTTTTACTGGAGACTCATTATTTTTATATGTGGAGTATTATTTTTATCTTCTGATATGGCTGCATTTTATCACCACCTCAGTTTGAGGGAAACGACACTTAAGGTCTCTTTTCAATCCTGCAAGCTCCAAGTTATAACTCCCAAATGATGAAAATGTATTTATACTTGTTAAAATCATATTGTATATTTTATCTATTACTGAACAAAAGGAAATTATTCTAATTAATTATTTCTTACATTTGTCCTTTATTTTATAGAGAAAGAAGTAAATATAGACTTAGTTATTTTGCTGGGGGAAAGTTAACTTGTTAATCAAAGGAGCACAAATCCAGGCACAAAATTTATTTAATGACTTATGTACAAATGAATGCAGTCACAAATATTTTCAGGGAAAACAATTCCTTAAGAGCTTAATATCTAACATTTCCAACATGTATAAAGGAAAAGTGACATAAGGAAGTCAACTCATGGATGGTATGGATGTTATGTTTCAGCAGATTCATTAAATAAAGACTGAAAAATGGAGTATCCAAGTTATGTTTTGGGTAGACAAATTTATCTTCTGATCCAGATCATCATCATGGGAGGGAAAAATTTTTGTTTCTCCTGTGTTTTTAACTGGTTGCATTTTATTTCACCTGAAATGGCTTCAAATGAGTGAGACAGAAGTTAGAAGAAACCTTATTCGGACTGATCTATCAAAGTGACTTTATTTAAAGATTTAGGGCTGCCCAACATGAACCAACAGAAACATGTGCATACTAGTCAATGCATATGTTAGGGGAATTTCATGCTCAGATAACTCAGCAAGAAGTTACGGACTTTCTAACTCAAAAGTTATTGGATACTTGCGTTGTAGAAGCATTATTTGCTTTAAACTCTGAGTTATGTTTAGAAAGAAAAGTGTTCTACTTCTTATATTTAGATAGGGATTTTGTGCAGAATTAATGGATAATTGGTGAACTTTTGACATGCTGAGGTATTCAATGTCACTAAAATACAGAATATAGGCATATCCGGAATGATTTCAAAGACATTTTGGTATAAGATAAAAGATTAATATGATTTGAAGAGAAACTAGAGTATACAAATTGACAGGGCTGATGTTATGTCATAGTGATAGCAACCTGTAAGGATCGCAAGAATTAGTGATGACTGTCAGAAGACATCTGTAAAGGACTTAGACTCTTTAGAAGATCCAACATCTAATGTACTTCTTTTCTTCAAGAAATCAATAAGAAGAAATTGTTTGTATTTTCCAAGTTACTCAAGTTTGTTAAAAGAAACCCTTACTTTTCTTGGTGATTGTGTCCCTTTAATGACAAAGAACATTTTCATAATCTGAATTCCATTTCTTATATCTGGTGTTTCTTTTCTTTATATTTTAAATTCCAGCTGTACTAAATGACTTAACAATTCCTAATTCCATCACACAACTTCATGATTGAATTCTTTAAGCGCTACTTCACACACTGTTTATTTGGGAAAACTCCCCATCTTAGCGAGAAATTGAAATGTTTCAAAAAAATCAATGTGAGTCAGTGCCCTGTATAGCTATCCTTATCTCAACCAGCAAAAACCCTTGTTCCTTCCTATTATTGCTTATACTCTCTCTACAACAAAATTAGAAATAAGGGCAAAATAGTTTCTGCTGGGTATTGAAGGGGGGAGAGGGAGGGGGCGGAGTGGGTGGTAAGGGAGGGGGTGGGGACAGGGGGGAGAAATGAACCAAGCCTTGTATGCACATATGAATAATAAAAGAAAAATGAAAAAAAAAAAAGAAATGTTTCAAAAAAAAGCAGCCTTTTCCCTGGTATGTAAGGTAGAGAAATGCACTATATGTAGAGAGAAAAGTTTAAGCAGGGACACAGAAGCATGAAAAATCATCACATGACCAAGAATGTTTGGGCCGGGCATTGGAATGAGTGATAGATGCTAATGCATTCAAGGTACTCGCATATAGTATTTCAAGTCTGTCACTGGATTCGTATTTATTGTGTGGCCTTAACTTTAATAACTGGCTGACACTGGGTATCTAAAGCTTTTTGTGCTGCCATTTCCCCAAAATTAAAATGGGGATAACAATGACTATGTCATAGGAATCACACAGCAAATGATAAGCAAGTGTGAGCTATCATGATATGGTTAATATTAGTAATATTACTATTATCTGTCTTCATATGACAACTGTTTAGTCTGTAAAATACCTAAAACAGAGTCAGAATACATTATCTGTGCTTAATAGCAATTGTTGGGAAAAAATATATAGTGTCAATGGTGAGGAAACATCGAAAAGACAAAACAGTGTAGAAACATTTGAAATTCATAATATATTTATATTCATGGCATAGATTACTTGAAAGGAGGGTTCAGAAGCAAGGAGGCTCCTTTGGAAGCTACTACAATGATCTAAAAGGCAGACTATTAAATCAATAGTAATCAATATGGAGAAGAAGAAAAGTGGTAGAAGACAGACATTGGTAATTTTCTATATGTTCATGGTACTATGAGCTTCAGAGTTCTAAGTCTGGAATACATTGCCTGGCTTCAAATTCTGTCCTTTTATTAACTCTCTGTGTAACCTCAGACAATTAGTGCACCTCTCTATGCTTCAGTTTTCCTGTCTGTAGAATTGGAATAATATTAATAATTATTTCCTAAGGTAATTATAAAGTTTAAATAAAATTCTTTGTTAAATTTTTATTAAAATGTTCCACATGTAATAATGCTTAATATTGTCTATTATCAATATTACTGCCATTATTTGTGGTGATAAAAATTAGCTCAGGCCAGGCACAGCAACTCAAACCTGTAATCCTAGCCACTTGGGAGACAGGGATCAGGAGGATCACAGATAAAAGTCAGCCCAGGCAAAAATTTCACACCACCCCATTCGAACTAATGACTGGGTAGGCTGGTGTGTGCCTGTCATCCTATCTACACGAGGAAGCAAAAATAGGAGGATCACAGTCCAGGCCAGTCAGCCATAAAACCAGACTCTACCAAAAAATAACCCATGCAAAATGGGCTGGCAGAGTGGCTCAAGTGTAGAGCACCTGTGTAGTAAGCCCTGAGTTCAAATCCTAGTACTGCCAAAAAAGTTCAATTTTATGTGACTCTGGTTGGTCTCTATATCATCAACTGAGTCAAGAATGTAGTGAGGTTTATCATCCAGTAATTCTTTCAGTTTTTAGTACCTTAAGTTTCAGATGTCCAAGTAGGTATATTTATTATTATAAAATTAAAGAGAAAAGTATGACAAAATGCATTTATTGGTAGTTGAGAGGTCTCCATTGGACATATAAGAAGGTTGAGGACAGAACCATGGCTAAAGGAATATGTGAAGGGTTTTGCTAAGACACAATCAGAAAGGAAGGCAAGAACAGGAGAAAGGAAAGTCATCTATATCAAGTATAGCAGATATTAAAGAGAAATCTGATGTTCACTTTGGAAACTGAGGTGCAGTAGAACACCACATAGAATCATCAAAAAACTTTAGGAGACCCCAGATTGCTGTGAATTGAGGCTCGAGTACAGGTAAGAGCTAGAGGCGGTGTTGCTCCAAATGTTATGAATAATGTAAATGGAATGACTGAAGGAAAAAGTAATTGCTTCTGGGAATTGCTAGCTGAAAAACTGAAGTTCCAGAATTTTCTCAGAAGGATGGGCCCAGTGAGGAACAGGAGGTCTAGAACTTACTATGGTCAACACTAGGCAGAAAATCTAAGAGGAACAGTGTAGAAAATGGAAGTGCACTGACTTACTATTCCCATTCTTTATTCCCTTTCTCATTCCTTCATGAAGTAAATCTGAAAATTGTATTACATATCACTGAAATACTATTATTTTCAGCCCACAGAGAACCCAGACTGGTTGGAGGGGACATTCCCTGCTCTGGTCGTGTTGAAGTAAAACATGGCGACACTTGGGGCACGGTCTGTGATTCTGACTTCTCTCTGGAAGCTGCCAATGTGCTGTGCAGAGACTTACAATGTGGCACAGTCATCTCTATCCTAGGAGGGGCACACTTTGGAGAAGGAACTGGGCAGAACTGGGCTGAAGAATTCCAATGTGAAGGGCATGAGTCCCATCTTTCACTCTGCCCAACAGCAATCCGCCCAGATGGGACTTGCAGCCACAACAGAGATGTTGGTGTAGTCTGCTCAAGTAAGAGTCAGAGAATGTCTTCAATTAGTTGCAATGTTGTGAAGGGCATAAGGTTAGATGGTCACAGACATCTTTTTTCAAGCCCTGTCTCCTTCTAGGATACACAGAAATCCGCCTGATGAATGGCAAGTCTTTGTGTGAAGGAAGAGTGGAACTCAAAGTGCTTGGAGTCTGGGGATCCCTCTGCAGCTCTCACTGGGACATAGAAGATGCCCATGTTTTATGCCAACAGCTTAAATGTGGAGTTGCTCTTTCTACCCCAGGAGGAGCACGTTTCGGGAAAGGAAATGGTCAGGTCTGGAGGCACATGTTCCATTGCACTGGGACTGAGCAGCACATGGGAGATTGCCTCGTAACTGCTCTAGGTTCACCACTATGTTCTGCAGGGCAAGTAGCTTCTGTAATCTGCTCAGGTAAGAGGATGGAGGGCAGCCAATAGTGAACCTCTTCCATGATGGTGGTGTGCTTTAGGACCAGATGTATGCATAGCGATGAAGAAGCAAAGCAAAAGAAAATGGTCCATTTTGAGGATCATGAGAAATGTGTTAGAATACTTTTCTCATTTGCCTCTTTAGAGGACAAATGAACTTAAATTTCATGAACCTCATTATCTAGTGCTCACTATGTGCCAAGCCTTCTCAAAGCACCCAGTTCATTCCTAGCCTGGTTGACCCATACACCATCCTCTCTCACTTAAGCTGTGTCTGTCCTCAGTTCATCTGTGTAACTCTCCATCTGACTTCCATTCTTTACCCTAATCTTTTGTATGTTATAAGACTGAGCAGTTTGGTGTTTGCAGGAAACATGTCCCAGACCTTGTCCCCCTGTAATTCATCATCTTCAGACCCAACAATCTCTGCCATTTCCGAAGAAAGGGCTGTTCCCTGCATAGGTGAGAATCAGTGATCAATCTATAAAAATGGCCTTAATCTTGATCTTAAGAATGCATTTTATTAATATTTCATTTCACTTTCCAGCAAGTGGTCAGCTTCGACTGGAGAATGGAGGAGGTCGCTGCTCTGGGAGAGTGGAGGTCTATCATGAGGGTTCGTGGGGCACCGTCTGTGATGACAGCTGGGATCTGAAGGATGCCCACGTGGTATGCAGACAGCTGGGCTGTGGAGTGGCCATTAATGCCACTAGTTCTGCTCATTTTGGGGAAGGAACAGGGCCTATTTGGCTGGACGAGCTGAACTGCAATGGAAAAGAATCTTATATTTGGCAGTGCCATTCACATGGCTGGGGAAGGCACAATTGCAGGCATAAGGAGGATGCAGGAGTCATCTGTTCAGGTAAGTTCTGCACATACTCCTGGCCAAAGTTACATTAAAAAGGACTGAGAAGGGCCAAAGGGTACTGAAGAAAATTAATCTGAAATATTTCCCTGAAAAGCATGTTCAAGGGAAACTATTGCCAGAGTAAAAAGCCCAGAAGTATGAGTTTGATGAGTTAGTGCTTCCTCATCACAAGATAGCATAGTATTATAAAGATCAAAATGCAGAAACAAGACTGGATATCATGAATATATATATATAGATATATAAAGAGTATATATATTCTCTCTCTCTCTCTCTCTCTCTCTCTCTCTCTCTCTATATATATATATATATATATATATATATATACACACACATATATCTATATATATTCATGGGCCATTCAATATTATATTAATATGGTGATGCTAATCAAAATAGATTAATAAAATAGAGTAAAAGGAATAAAAATACATTCTATGCATCATTAAGATAGTCATGGACAAAGATAATTACCATGCCCAAGTATTGCTTCCAAGCAGATAAATGATACTTGCTTGTCATAGGATCAAAATTTACCATAACATGCTACTCCTTTTGTTTTGTATATATGATGAGTTTCAGAGACTATTATGAAATAGAAAATTGTCCTCTGTTGTAATATACTTGAGAACACAATACTATCACTCAGTAATTAGGGAAGTGAAATATTCTATATGCTAGAAGTGATTGATTCCTATTTAATGATATAATTATATAAATCTAGTAGAGAACATCCACAGCAAAATTGTGAAATGTCCAAAAAAGGAAATATTTCAAGATAATGTATAAGGTAATGTATATAAAATATTAATTTTAGTACTTGCATCTCATTTATCTATCAAAGACAGTTGCCAAAAAGAATACACAAAGAAATGATAAATATTTGAGGTGATGGATATACTAAATACCCTTATTTGATCATAACACAATGTATACATGTATTGAAACATCTCAGTGATCCAAAGAATTTTATGTGCACAATTCTGAGTGTTAATTAACAACAAACTAAACAGAATAAGATTCTTGAGGCTAACACTACAGTAACTAGAGAGAAAATCCAAACTATGTCATGGAAAGAAGGCTTGAGGCTTAGATTGAATCTGGAAAGCATCTCAGAATAACTAACAACTTTCTAACGCGGTCCCAGAGTACAAAACCCAAGAGTAGAAAACCTAAAGTTGTATATAGAATAAACACTGTGTTTTCTAAAGTATACTAATTCATCTAGAAGTTACTAAAGAATTACAATTAACTTACAAATTGTACCTATTTTAAAGCCATTCTCACATCAGAGAAGAGGGAGGGAGTCTTCTGAGTGTTCAGAGAAGATATGAAACTACTAATTCTGTATTTCTCCACAGAGTTCATGTCTTTGAGACTGTCCAGTGAAAGTGACAGAGAGACCTGTACAGGGCGCTTGGAAGTTTTTTACAATGGAGCTTGGGGCAGTGTTGGCAGAAGTAACATGTCTACAACCACCATGGAGGTGGTATGCAGGCAGCTTGGCTGTGCTGACAAGGGAAACATTAAACCTGCATCTTCGGACAAAACACAGTTCATGTGGGTAGACAATGTTCAGTGCCCTAAAGGACCTGACACATTGTGGCAGTGCCCATCATCTCCATGGAAACAAAAGCTGGCCAGCCCATCTGAGGAGACCTGGATTATGTGTGACAGTAAGTATCCATTGGTCAATGTGAAATTTTCATTCCACACCTCCACTGTCACCTTCTGAGAAAAGATACATTATTTTTCTGTTCTCACACCATCTTGCTAATTCCCATTAAGCAGGGATAGGTAGCCTCCAGGTAAGTAAGACCGATTCTATCTACACAGTTTGATTGATTTTATTTAATTTAGCACGTGTGTGTGTGTGTGTGTGTGTGTGTGTGCATGTGTGTGTATTCCAGATCAGTGATCATTATTCCAAAGACTATCATACTCCATTTGCTCTGCTTGAAAGTTTTATTTGATTACTTTTTCTGAGAACAGATGAGGAGCAGAAAATGTGATTCAGTGTGCAACTATTCAATGATCTTCCGTAGTTTTCCCATTTTCTTTTCAAATATTATTTCTCTGCATTGATATAAGGAAAATTACCGCAAAAATATCAATCCTGAAGTATTTCCCCATTCTATATCTTCTTATGCTATGAGATGATTTCTGTCCACCTGGCAATTTCCCAGGCTCTCGTCTCTTTGAGAGAACTTAGTGTTCCACAATTACATGGATTGCCTGGGTCACACTATGATTTTTATGTACTGGATGAAATAGACACAGTTTGCTGAAAGAACGCATACTTTCATAAAAGAGAAATGTTATAAACAATATAAATTCCTAAAATACACATTAAATAAATTAGGTTTTTAGACAGATTTTTATAACCTAGAGTATCTAATCTCTCTTTTCTGCTATAACCTTTCAGAAGCTTTTATATTCTCTGAAATAACCAAGGTATGTCTGATTTTTCAGACAAGATACGACTTCAGGAAGGACACACGGATTGTTCTGGACGTGTGGAGGTCTGGCATGAAGGGTCCTGGGGGACAGTGTGTGATGACTCCTGGGATCTTAACGATGCTCAGGTGGTGTGTCGACAGCTGGGCTGTGGCAAAGCTATGACGGCACTAAAAGAAGCAGCATTTGGTCAGGGGACTGGACCCATATGGCTCAATGAAGTAAACTGCACAGGGGACGAGTCTTCCTTGTGGGAATGTCCTGCAAGACCATGGAGCCAGAGCAACTGTGGGCACAAGGAAGATGCTGCTGTAGAGTGCCTCCCAAGTAAGTGCAAAGAATCTGGATTAAGCCTGGACTGTCTAGCAGCGAAGAAGGGGCAGACATTGAAGTATGTTGTATGAAGGCTGCACCTGTCAGCATAGGGATCTGGTGGAAACACAATTGTGATGTTTCTATCCCCAGCAATGGTGAAAACATCTGTTATACAGTGGCCTTCTTTGAAGACAAGCTCATTACCTGTATGTCTCCACACAAGGGAAAACAGACCAGGAAACCCTAACTTTAGGGCAGGAAAGAGTAATTTGAGAAGCATAAAAGGCAAGACAAGGATGTGGAGATAGTTCTTATTTATTACTCCCAGAATTAAGATTCTTTCTCTTTTCTCCTCCAGGAACGTCTTCAGAATCATCACATCCCACAGGTATATCGTGGGGTTGGTGAGGATAGGACTTAATCAGAAGGCATTCTCAGGACTTGAGAATTGCTTCAGGGATCCTGTACCCAACCAAAGGGAGAGTCAATAACTAGTGTGCTAGATCTTTTATCCAAGATATTATCGTCTCTCTTGATATTTATTTTTTGTTAGGTCACTTGACCCTCACTGCATTCATGATCATGGGGGTTATTCTTCTGGTCGTTCTCATCACGTTCCTCTTGTGTGCTCTGAAGAGAAGACAGATACAGCGGTTTACAGGTTTGAGTCAATTTGTGGTCTCTCTTAGGTGTCTATAGGATTATGGGGTTCTTGGGAAGAAAGTAAATAAATGAGTGACATAAATTGACTCAAGTAATTGGCCAGAAAGCAGAAGGCTACAAGAAGTTTGAGCAGTTTCTCAGAATACAAGGAACAAAATTTCACAAGAGAGAATGGACTCTGGTTGCATGTATGGTTCCTGTTGTATCCACTTGCTTAGGAATATAGAATTGGTACTTTAGAATGTGCAATTTGTGATCTAAGATGAATCCTTTGGTGCACACATTTTTTGTTATGACTATCATATCCTTAATCCAAAATTTTACTGTTTTAGGACTGGGGGCATAGCTCAAGTGATAGACCACCTGCTTAGCAAGCACAAGGTCCTGAGTTCAAACCCCAGTATTGCAACCCAAATTTTTTGCTCCTCTATCAAGCAATGTGCTAGACTCTGAAGATACAAAGATAATAAAGTGTTTCTGTGCTCATAGAACTTAAAGTTTAATGCAATATATATGTATATATATATATACAAACACCTATATACATAAAAATCTCTCATGTAGCATTAAATGAATAAGAAACAAAGTGACATGGAAAAGAGTAATTAAATGAAATGTTAAAGGAGGCATAGGAGGCTTTGAGGAAGCTTTTGTGGCAAATTTTGAAGATAGGAGTTCAAATAATGGGGTAAGGAACATGCTAGAAAAAAAAGAAAGGCATGTGCAAGAGAAGTGTACTTTAGAGTAGTGTATAGTATGACACATTGGTTGGAGTAAAGGTTGAGTGCAAGAAAAGAAGCTGCTGGTGAGGCTAAAGAGGCAGGAAGAAAGAAAATATGAAGTTCGTATATTCCAGGGTAAGATGATTCTTAGGGTAAGATGGTTATTAAAGTGTCATGAGAAGTGAAATGGTCAAACTGTCTTTAAAAATATCTTTTGATGCTGGGTGCTGGTGGCTCTTGCCTATAATCCTAGCTACTTGGGAGGCTGAGCTCAAGAGGATCATGGTTTGAGGCCAGCCTAGGCAAAAATTTATCAAGACCCTATTTCAACCAATAGCTAGGCACAGTGATGTGCTTGTCATCACAAGCTATGCAGGAGGCTGAGAGCAGGGGGATCCCAGTTCCAGGCCATCCCTGGGAAAAATGTTTGTGAAATCCCATCTCAACAAAAAGAGCTATGCACCGTGTGCCTATCATGCCAGGTACACCAGGAAGTCTAAAATTGAAGGATTGCCGTCCAAACCAGCCTGGGCAGAAAGCAAGATGCTATCTGCAAGACGAGTGAAGAAAGGGTTGGAAGCATGGCTGAAGCAGCAGAGCATCTTCCTGAATTCAAACCCCACTACCATCAAAAAAATCTTTGGTAACAAAAGAAGGAAGGAGGACCACAATATTGAAGGAATAGCATTTAGAAATGGTCAAGATGAAAGATGAAAAGGACTTTTTAGTGAGAATGGAGGGAAGAGGAAATATCTTCAGAGATTTATAAAAGCCTCTAGTGAATTATGGAAGATTTCTGGCTTCCTTGAGTTGTTACAATAAGGACAATTTAGTCTTGTGCCTATTTCATCAGAGTATGTAGCATTCTGAGGGAAAATCTTGAAAAATAGCCTGGATACAGATTAGGTATGTTTGCATGGCTGGACAATGTCTTATGATGGTCTGCCGATCCATAACTCGGTGTCTCTGTTAGTTTCCTCAAGAGGAGAGAATTTTGTCCCTCAAATTCAATACCGAGAGATGAATTCCAGCCTGAAGGAAGATGACCTGGACCCACTGCATTCCTCAGGTCGGTGCATTCTTCAAAGGTCTGTAGTTCAGGGGCTCAGACTGGTGGCTACTGTTGAGGCTCAGCATTCTACTTTGCCTAATAGTTGAAAAAGATCCAAAAACCTTGCAATAAGAAGAAAAGAAAGGCAGAACTGAAAATTAGTTTTAGAGAATACAAAATTGTATCATAGGGCTGTCTCTAGCTTATGATACTCAATATTATTTCTGAAGGATGTACAAAACAACCATGTAGCAGAATATTATGACGTGGATCTCATTTTGTTAAAATAGAAATAAATCTTCCAAAAGACTCTCATGATGACTTTAAATTTTCTTTTTCTCTTTTTAAAAATAACTTTCATTGTGTATATAGTTCTTAAGTGCTTTATTAATATAAATTAATTGTACAATGGGGTTTCATTTTGATACTTACATACATGCACATAATGTACTTTGATCAAATTCACCCTGCCTATTTTTCTCTTTCTAAACCCCTCTGCCTCCTCCCCACTCTTTTCTCAATTTTTAGTGGGTTTCATTATGCTATTTTCTTTTTACTTTTGCATGCTTGTACAGTTATCTTTATTTTTTATTTTTTTATTGTTGTGCTGGCGGTACATTGTTGCATTTACAAAAGTTTTTCTAATGTATCAATTGAGTATATCATACTTGAGTTCACCCCTTCCATCATTCTCCTTTATCCCTTCTCTTCTGCTCCTGGAATAGTTGTAACAGGTCTCATTTTTCCATTTACATACATGTGTACACAGATGTTTGCAACACTATTTTCACATATCTATATAATGTTACTTTTATCATGTTCATCCTCCTATCACCCTCTCCTTTCTCCCACTTATTTTGCATATTTAAAGTAAACAACACGATGGGGTATTTATAAATAGTAAAAAGGTCACTTAGTGAAGCAAACTAACATATCCATCACTTCACATAGTTTATTGTGGCGAGAACAGTTAAAGTCAGCACATTTAATAGAAATTCTATACACAGTAAAACATTATTGCTGCCCTGCTTGCGTTGTACTTTACATGTCTAGATATGTTCATCTCCCTATCTTCTGCTTTGTATCCTCTGACCTACATCTCTCTGCAGTGTCTTCCACTCCCACTTCCCATCATTTTCCTTCCTTGAGCTTGATATTTATTATACTTTTCCTAAAAACCTAAAAACTTAAACTTTCCATATCTGTATCCAATGACAAGCTATCACTACCACAGGATGAGCCTTTCTTCTCATTCCATAGTGCTTCTTTCATTTTCCCTCTAACTTCTGGTTAGCACCAATTCACTAATATTTTCTCTGGGTAAGATAACTGTACAGGGTTGGTAAAAATATCCCGGTCCCACTGTCCTTACTCCACAAGGGTATCTTTCTCTTCTAAGAAGGACCTCCCACCTCAACTTCTTTGATACAAATATTTGGTATTTGCTGCAACTATGTCAGGAAACATATTTAAAGGACAGAAAAAAACTTTCTGTGCCCCTCCAATAGCACCCACCTGTCTTCCTGATTGTGGTCAGCATTTTTAGATGCTCAAAGACCTACTTAGGCACTTGAGAACAGTTCTGATGTATTTCCCAGTAATTATTTTCTTCCTTCCAGAAAATTCCAGTGACTCACATGGTAATGGTGCTGGACTAATGTCTGTGTCTAAATATCTTCCTATTTCTGGAATAAGAAAGGGGGGCATTCTGAGGTGCACTGAAAAGGAAAATGAGAATTTATAATCCAGTGAGGTGAGTGAGAATTTATTCATCATTGTTGAAAACAAGTACATTCTTTTTTGAAAATTGAGAACACCTCTTTCATTAGAAAGAATGTATATAAATGTGTATATCCATATTCAGAATATATAGCATCATTTTATAAATGACTCACTTGTTTCTAAAGTATACTTGCATGCTTAGCAATAACAATGGAACATCTATATGCTAAGGAGAAACTGGGAAAATAGCTATTAGTGAATCTTTTGAAGACTCTTACAGGGTCATGTCAGTAAAAAAAAATTATCTACAGTTACAAAAAGTATACTGTGGTAAAGATTGACAAGATACTACAGGAATGCAAAAAAATTGCCTAGAAAGTTTGGAAGATTGTTAGAAGATGTGATATCTAAGTTAAATCTTAAAGATGAGTGAAAGACCACTCCAAGAAAAGAACATAACATGTACAACTATGGAGACTGAGAGCTATGTCTTTAGAGAACAGTAAGAAGTTTTTATTCAAAGGCATGTATTGCACATATTTGTGATGACAGTAATGTCCTGAGCACTTAAAATTCAGAAGTACTTCATACTGCTGACAAAGATATGACTGTTTAACTAAAGATCTCCTAGTCTCAGGGGGAACTATGGAGAAAAGAGCAGTGACAATCCAAGCTGAAAAGACTGCCTAGCTCTCTCTAATGAATGACCTTCATGTCCCTGTCTTTTTTATTTGATGCATTTATTCATTACTGGGTTTTTTCTTTATTTTATCATTTTTACATTACTTACATGTGTATACATTGTTTGGACCACCTACCTCCTTCTCCTGCTCCCGACCTCCCTGCTTCCAGGGAGGGAACCTGTTCTGCCCTCTTGTTTTCCAGTTATGTTGAAGAGAAAGCATAAGATACAATAAGAAAGACATCATTTTTGCTAGCTTGAGATAAAGATAGCTATACAGAGAGATTCCTGGTGTTGCTTCCATGCACATGTGTATTGCAACCCACATTGGTTCATCTCTACCTGACCTCTTCACTACTTCCCGGTCACTTTCCTATAATGGCCTCTGCCAGTTTAAGATTACTATATTAACTCCTCTACAGTGAGCACATCAACCACATTTGAGTTTTAGGTTTCTTCCCTTTCTCTATTCCTCTCATGTACGTTCTCCCCTTAGTGTGTGACCCATGTCCAATAATATTAATGCATAACCCACATGAGGGAGAACATGCAATTTTTGGCCTTCTGAGCCTCACTAACTTCACTTAAGATGATGTTCTCCAGTTCCATCCATTTACTTGCGAATGAAAAAATTTCATTGATCTTTGTGGCTGAGTAAAATTCCATTGTGTATAAATGCCACATTTTCTTGATCCATTTGTCAGTAGTGGGGCATCTTGGCTGTTTCCATAGCTTGGCTATTGTGAATAGTGCTTCTATAAACATGGGTGTGCAGGTGCCTTTGGAATAACCTTAGTTGCATTCCTTTGGGAATATCCCTAGTAGTAAATGTTTTCCAAAGTGGTTTACTAACTTACATCCCCACCAGCAGTGTATGAGGGTTCCTTTTCCCCTGCATCCTCGCCAGCATTTGTTGGTGGTGGTGTTCTTGATGCTAGCTATTCTAACAGGAGGGAGGTGGAATCTTAGTGTGGTTTTGATTTGCATTTCCTTTATGGCCAGAGATGGTGAGCATTTTTTCATGTGTTTTTTGGCTATTTGGACTTCCTTTGAAAAAGTTCTGTTTAGTTCAGCTGCCAACTTCTTTATGGGTTCATTAATTTTTGGGGATTTCAGTTTTTGAGCTCCCTATAGATTCTGGTTATCAGTCCTTTGTCTGATGTATATCCAGCAAATATTTTCTCCCACTCTGTGGGTGGTCTCTTCAGTTTAGAGACCATTTCTTTTTTTTTTATTCATATATGCATATGATGTTTGGGTCATTTCTCTCCCCTTCCCCCACACCCTCCCTTACCCACCTAGAGACCATTTCTTACGTTGTGTTGTACAGAAGCTTTTTAATTTTATGTAGTTCCATTTGTCCATCCTTTCTCTTAGTTGCTTGCTGCTGGAGTTCTACTGAGGAAGTCCTTGCCTATACCTATTGTTTCCTATACCTATGTAGTTCCATTTGTCCATCCTTTCTCTTAGTTGCTGGCTGCTGGAGTTCTACTGAGGAAGTCCTTGCCTATACCTATACTCTGTTCTTTCATGTACTAACGTCAGAGTTTCAGGTCTGATATTAAGGTCCTTAATCCACTTTGAGTTAATACTAGTGCAGGGTGACAGGCAGGGATCTAGTTCAGTTTTCTGCAGGCAGTTAACCACTTTTCCTAACAGCATTTTTTGAAGAGGCTGTCTTTTCTCCATTGTATGTTTTTAGCACCTTTGTAAAAAATAAGGTGGGTGTAGCTTTGTGAATTCATATCTGGGTCCTCTATTTTGTTCCACTGGTCTTCATGTCTGTTTTTGTGCCAGGACCATACTGTTTTTATTGTTACCGCTCTGTTGGATAGTTTGAAGTTGAGTATTGTGATACCTCCAGCTTTGCTCTTTTTGCTCAGTATTGCCTTGGCTATTCATGGTCTTTTCTGTTTCCAAATGAATTTTAGGGTAGATTTTTCATTCTCTGTGATGAATGTCACTGGGAATGTAATTCCCATTAAAATCTTATAACATTATCTTATTTTAGGTACTGTTGGGGAAGTGGTTGGCTTTGGAAGATTAGGCTGAAGTCAGACATAATCAGACTTGCATTCTATAATTTTCCTTCATGAAGAAAGTATAATGAAAGAAAAAAACTTAAAAAGTGAAAAAGGCAAGAAAATTTGTTAAGGTATACATCAAAAAGGAAAGATGGTGAATGAATTGTAGATGCATTTTTTTTGTTTTTTAAAACAAATAATTATGAGTTTGCCTCACCTTTTATTCGAATTATGAATTTGAGTGAGCTTTCTGATATTTTGGGTTTCATAACTATAATCTGATATCTTTTCATTTAATTCATTAATTTGCATATATTATATTCTTTTAAAATTTGATTTAAATAATAATTTTCTTATTATTTAAGAACTCTAATATTAATATTAAAAAATATTAAGATTAAGATTTATGATTTAATATTAATCTTTAATAATATTATTTAAACAAATCTAATTAAGTTATTTTTACTTTACTTTTTTAGGAAAGGGAAAGTTAATGATAACAAAGTGTTTATTAATATATGCTTCAATGCTTGTCACTACAATTATGGTCACTGACATACATTTGGAAATGATACATAGAAAATTAGGGCTTTTAAGAAACATAAATGACATATAAGAAATAAAGATTGAGACAAAGGGTAAAAGTTGTAACTCTTAAAACAATGTAACTTATAAAGTGTTGGGCTGGGGGTAAAACTCAGTAGCAGAGCACTTGCCTCCCATGTTTAAGGTCCTGGGTTCAAGTTCCAACCTTACACAAAAAAAGAAAGAAAAAAAGAACTCAAAATGTAAATGCTTAATATCAATAGACTGTATAGTTAATTTTGTGTAAGTACACATATATACGGATTTCTTTAAAAATGCATGTAATGTAAAAAAGATAAATATTTATATGACTTTTATTTGTTTGCACAATATTCAATAATAATTTAACAGAGCCATGAAAAGATTGCTTGTATGTGATGACTTCACATGATAGCCATTTTAAAATGCTCAAATTCATTACTATGTCTAAACACTTCAAATTACAATTAACAATTAGATATCACTTCATACAAATCAGACCAACACATTTAAAATGGTATTAGTATTTATTGCTGATGAGAATACAGAGTAAAGGGTAATTTCAAACACTTAGTGGAAGAGGTATGCTTTCTGCCTTTGAAGAAAGCAATCAGTAACTCCTATTAAAATAATGATAGTTATAAACTTTCACAGACCTTTTGACCAAACACTCTGTACTTGAGAATTTATTTCATACAAATAAAGTTACTAGAATTTAAGAATACATTTTCAATGCTTTCTTTCTTTCTGTATTATTATTAATGGTAATAACAGAACAAAGTAAGTGCCAATTGGTTGAAAATAATTGAAAAAATTGTTTTAACTAACTAAAAAAGGAAAAAATCACCCAAAACATGTAATATGATTCCACTTATGTCATCATGTTATTGACTATAATTAAATAAGATGTTTACATTTATGAAATTATACATACATGTATAGGTGTAGAAACATTTAAAATTCCAACAGCATTGTAAATTCAGAACTGTGATTAACTTTTGACTCATAATTTCAAACATATGAATGTTTTATATTATAATAAATAATGCTTAAACTACTTTTTCCTGAATGAATAATCACTGCTCAATAATTGCTGCAGAACTACATGGAGGTGATATTTTAAAATGGCATTTCTCTGGGCAAGGAGTGACTCAAATGGGGAGCTTGCTAGATAGCCACTCTACCTCTTGAGCAATGGCCCAGCCCTGTTTTTTTTTCAATATTTCATTTAAAGTTTTCACTCAGGAGAGGTACTATGCATTTTAATACAAGTGAGTAGGTGTATTTTATAATATAATGAATGCATCCCTTTATGCATGTGTGCACAAAGAATTAAATAACATTTTTTCTATTTATGGCTTTAGTTCGGCATTTGGGATACTTTAATGAAAACCTGGGCTATTGAATGGAGGAAGAATCCATCTAGTTCACTGATGATTGCAGTTGCATTTCTACAGAGTACTTTGTTTCCTTGGACTCCAAAGACTGCTGCTGAACTTACAGAAATTAAGTTTGTGAATGTGACTACTTAATGATTTATGTAAGATTTTCAAGGGATCAAGTAAAAATTATCATTTATTTCAGTTTGTCTTCACTTTTTCTTCCAATTTTGAATCTCTGATTGAGCTTTCTGACATTTTAGGCCTTCATAAATATTATATAATGTCTTTTCATTTGATGTACTAATTTGCATGTATTATATAAATTTTAGTTTAGTTTAAATAATAATTTTCTTCTTTTATTGTTCATTTATTCACATGTGCATACATTGTTTGGGTCATTTCTTCCCCCTACATCCCACCCCCACCCTCTCTCCCCTCCCTCCTCCCTTCCAGGCAGAACCTGTTCTGCACTTTTCTCCAGTTCCATTGAAGAGTAGAAATAAGCAATAATAAGACATAGCATTTTTTCTAGTTGAGATAAGGACAGCTATACAGAGAGATTCCTAGCATTGCTTTCATGTACCCATGTGTTACAACCCATGTTGATCTTTACACTAGTTCCTGATCCCCTTCTCGTGTTGACTTCTGTCACTTTAAGGTTTCTGTATTAGTTCCTGTGGAGTGTGGACATCAAATACTTTCATGTTTTGGGTTTTCTACCTATCCTCATACCTCCCATATGTGCTCTCCCCTTGTCATGTGACCCAAGTCCAACAACATTGGTATGTTAGCCCTAGATCTAAAGTCTGCATATAAGGGAGAACATATGATTTTTGGTCTTCTGAGTGTGGCTAACCTTGCTTAGAATGATGTTCTCCAGTTCCATCCATTTACTTGCAAATGATGAGATTTTATTCTTCTTCATGGCTGAGTAAAATTCCATTGTGTATAAATAACACATTTTCTTGATCCATTTGTCAGGAGGGGGGCACTTGGTTGTTTCCATAACTTGAATAGCGCTACAATAAACATGGGTGTGAGGTGCCTTTGGAGTAACCTGTGTCGCATTTCTTCGGGTATATCCCCAGGAATGGTATTGCTGGATCATATGGCAGATCTATGTTTAGATTTTTAAGAAGCCTCAAATTTTTTTCCAGAGTGGTTACACCAGCTTGCATTCCTACCAGCAGTGTACAAGGGTTCTTTTTTCCCCACATCCTCACAAATACATGTTGGTGGTGGTGTTTTTGATGATGGCTGTTCTAACAGGGATGAGATAGAAGCTTAGTGTGGTTTTGATTTGCATTTTGTTTATGGCTAGAGATGGTGAGCATTTTTCATGTGTTTTTTGGCCATTTGAATTTCTTCTTTTGAGAAAGTTCTATTTAGTTCAGTTGCTCATTTCTTAAAATATTTGCTAGCTATACATCAGACAAAGGACTAATAACCAGAATGTACAGGGAACTTATGAAACTAAACTCACTCCAAATCAATGAACAAATTAAGAAATAATAATTTTCTTATCAAATATAAATACATTTATTTTTTACTTTACTTTTCTTAGAAAAGAGAAAAATAATGTATCAAAGATTTATTATTTGTTTAAATCTTATCACTGTAACTATGATCACTGGCATACAATGCAGAGCAACACCTATAAAAGACTCAAAGGTTTAGTTCCTTATTATTCAGGAAGGTGTCACAGAAAGTAGAATTTAACATAAATCATCTTTTTCCATATAAGTATACATGTTATAAAGCAAGTTAATATATTCCTAAAAATCTCTTACCCATAAAAAATTAATATTAACATAAAGAGAAAGCAACAGGGTAGAGAATATGATTGAAGTACCTTGTATGCATGTATAAAAAGTTCATAATGAAATCCATACTAAACATTACAAGAAAAATTAAAAGGAGGGAGAAGAGTTGTAAGGGTGGACATGATCAAAGTATATTACAAGCATGCATGGAAATATCACAATAAAGCTTCCTATGCTGTACAATTAAAATAAGCCAATAAAAATGTGAAAAAACAAAGATAACACTTAAAGTAATCCAACACTAACCCTAGAGTCTCAAATCTTGTTGAATATCTCAATTTTCTATGGAACTGATTTTTAAAATTGGTATTTTAAATGTCATACATATTTGTCATGTAAAATGTATTTTGAAATATGTACACACTGAGAATGAATAGATCAAACTAATCAATGTGCATGGCTTCGCATACTTATTTTTCTACTTCTAAACACTTTTCAAGAATTCAATGCACTGTAATTAGCAATAGTCACCAGGTTGCAAATGACAGGATTTCCTTCAATAGTATTCCATTGCATACATCACAATTCCTTTGTCCATCCAATGGTATATAATCTTTTCTTTACCTATAAATCTGGTGATGGGCACTTAGGTTGCTTCCATATCTTTGATATTATGAATAATGCTGCAGTGACCATGGGAACATAGATATCTCTTTGAAATTCTTATTTCAGTCCTTTGAATATAGGCTGAGAAGTGGGGCTGTGAGATCACATGCTAATTCTTTTATTGTCGGAGGAAACTTCATAAAATTTCCCATAGTGGCTGCTCTAATTTACATTCTCAAGTGCAGTGCACAGGTGAGATTCTGTTCTCTCCACACTTCCACCAACATTTGTTATTTATTTTTTGGTTTTAATAATAGCCTTCTAGTAGGTAGGAAGTGACATTTCACTGTGGTTTGCATTTGCATTTCCTTGATAATCAATCATGATCAGCATTTTTCATATATTTGTATGTCTTTTTTGACAAGTATCTATTTAAGTCTTTTGCCCATTTTGTGTTTGGGTTATTTGTTTTATTGTTATTGCGTTGCTTGAGTCCATTATTTATTTTGAGTTTTAACCCTTTATTTGATGTATTGTTTGCAAGTAATTTCTACCAATATATAAGTTGTTTCTTCACTCTTGGTTGTTTCCTTTGCTGTGCAGTGGCTTTTTAGTTTGATGTCATACCTTTTTTTTTCTTTTTTATTGTGTTTCCTGGTATTTCAGGTCATATCAAAGAATCTTTGTCTACACCAATGCTGTAGAGCATTTATGCTTTGCTTTCTTCTATTAGTTTTATATTTTCAAGTCTTACATTTAAGTCTTTATTTCATTTTGAATTGATTTTTTATGTGAATGTGAGATAAGGGTCTGATTTCACTCTTCAGCTTGTGGATATTAAGTTTTCATACATTATTTATTGAAGAGACTGTCCTTTGTCTATTGTGTGTTTTTTGTACTTTTGTCAAAAGTCAATTGTTCATAGATGTGTGTAGATTTTTACTGGGCTGTCTACTCGGTTCCATTTGTCAGTATTTGGATTTATGTCTGGGCCATGATGATTTGATTAGTATTTCTTTATAATAGATTTCCAAGTCAGGTAGGGTGATGCCTCCAACTTTCTTCTTTAAACTCAAGATCGCATTTACCACTTGAGCTCTTTTGTCTTTACATTTGATTCTTTCTTCTACTTTCATGAAAAATTACATTGGAATTTTTATAGCGATTGCATTGAAAAAGTCACTGTGGGCACTAGGGAGATTGAAGCAATATTAACTCTTCCAATGCATAAACATGGATATTGTTCCATTTATTTCTGTAACTATAATTTCTTCTATCAATATTTTATAGTTTTTATGTATAAGGCTTTTGCCTCCTTGGTTAAATATATTTACAAGTACTTATGCTCTTGTGAATGGGATTCATTTCCTAATTTCTTTTTCAGGTAGTCCCTCCTGTACCTGGGGATTTATATCTATAACCAGATTTGGAACACTCCAATGTCATTTTTCATGAAAGGCCTTCAAATATGTCTTTTGGCCTTTTTTCTCTCTTGTTTCTTTGAGATTCTATAATCTTGATATTTGCTTTTTTGTTGCTATCTTATAACTTCCGTAATATTTTATACTTTTTATTCTATTTTCATTTTCCTCCTTTGACCATGCATTTTTAAAATAATCTGACTTTGAGTCCACAGATTAATTCTTATGTTTGATTAGTTCTGCCCTTGACACACACTATTGAATTTTTCATTTCATTCATTGTTTTTTTTAACTCTATAATTCTGACTTTTTAAAAAAATTAATCTCTCTGTTAAACTACTAGTATGGTATACCTATTGCTTTCCTGATTCTGTTGAATTGTCCTTAAATTCGTTGAGTTTTCTTAAACCAATTATTTTCAATTCTTTGTTAGGCAGTTCATACATTTCCACTTCTTTAGAGTTAATTATTTCTGCTTAATTGTTTTCCCTCTGCTGATTTAATTTTCCTGATTGTCCTTGATTCTTCTGGCTACTTGCTGCTATCTTCACATTTGAAGGAATGGGGATTTATTGCAGTTTTTGCTGACTGGTTTTGTAAGAGAATGTTCTTCTCTACTCATTCCATCCAGAGATTCTGGGGCAGGCCATCTGGTGTCCATGGGAAGGATTATTCTGGAGTCTTCAAGTGGGATGCCCTTGTGCTTGGATCCACAGGTTTCAGACAAGCGTATGAATCCACTGGTGTGCCCCTCTTAATTTAGTCTGTGGGAATGGGCCTGTAGCCTGAAACTATGTGGGCTGAATTGTTCCTGGACTGGTATGAAATTTGGCATTGGACTGGGCTGCAAGGACTGGCCTACCATTGGATAGAACTTAATCCTATATCTGCATGGGTCAGCCTGGAGCCTGGGCTCATGGATGACATCTTGGTGACTAGAGCTTCAAGGGTAGACCTGACCCTCTGTCTTTGGACCCTAGTCTCATGCTGGTACAGGCACAAAGTCCAGGACTGCTGATGTTGGGTTACTCCAGAGCCTGAAGACACTGGAGTTGACCTGAATGTGGAATAATCCCTAAAACTTAGTCTGCCCATTGGGGCTGGAGGTCGGGGCCACAGGATCTGTCCTGGAATTGCTGTGGATCTCAAGTCTGGGGTCATGAGGTATTTTGATTTTTATTGGGGAGGGCTTAGTGTTGGAATCCAAGGTCAGGGTTGTGGGGCTGATGTGGGGAATGTAAACATGCCTTTCCCACTCTCTTCAATTAATCTTTCTTTTTATTCTTGTACTTCATGAGGAGCTGTAATCTCTCACGTTGTTTCCCTTGCTCTTGTGAAGGTATTTTCATGCCCAGATAGATGCTTAAATTGGTGTTTCTGTGTGAGAATGAGGTATGGAAAGTTCTATTCTGCCATCTTCCTGATG